CGGAGCAAGGCCGGAGATGGTCGTAGAACCTTGAATCGGCGGAGATCTGAGCGAAAACCTTTGAGGTCAAGCCTCGAATCTTCAAGTATAAGAGCAAATGGAGGTGAGTTTAAGACTCTTATGGCCTGAGAGGCCATGGATTCCGGTAGTTTCAAGGTTTGAAGACGGTGAGAGGGGCTAGGGTTAGGGAATGTTCGAGAAAGTCTGAGAGAGGAGAGGAATTTAGAGCGGCGGGTTAGGGCAAAATGATTTTAGGGTTGTGTGTATGTGAATTAAAAAAGAAAAGGAATGATTGTGGTCGTTGATCAAAATGATCAACGGCCTAGATCAAAAGGGGAGGTTGGGCGGGTTAGATTAGTTGGGTCAGGGGCGGGTTAAATAGAAATTGGGCCGGTCAATTTGGGATTTGAAATAGGGTTAATTGGGGGTTGATTCAGGCTATAATTGAAATGAAATAGGGCTAGCATTTAAATAACCACTTTCTCCCTTTTATTTTATAAAAATAGTAAAATGATTTCTGAAAATAAATTAAAGGTACTAACTTAATTAATAATATATAAATATTAAATTAAAAATACTGGAACCAATTCCATAAGTATAAAATGCAATTAAATCGTAAAATAGGTTAAACTTGCAATTATATGCAATTTAGCCTTAAAATACTAAATAAATTTGTAAAAATGTGCAAAAATTACCTTAAATATATTTTGGTATAAATATAAGAATAAAATACAGTAATCACCAAAATGATAATTTGAGGAACAATTATTGGTTTTTGTATTGTTAAAATAGGGCAATAAATTGATTTAAAAATCTTTATAAATTAGGAAAAATACTAAAACACTTGGGCATACTTATATATGTATATATATGCTATTTTGAAAGTATTTTGCATATATAAAATATACAAGAAAAAATTGGGTATCAACAGAAAGCAGACCAGCTGCCTTTGGACTTATTGCTCGATGATCATATGCCAGCAGATCATCCCCAGCCAGAGCAGTCACAGAGGCCTCCAAAGAGAAAGAAGATGATTCCCAGAGTGGACGATGTAGTCATCTAGTTGGCAGACCCACCGGAGGCCTCCTCTAGTCAACCACAAAATGCACCTCAGGAGCCTGTCCAGGCCCACGTCCCAGCAGCACAGTAGCAGGCCATAGGGAACCAGTCTGAGGTTCCCGAGCGCAGTGAGGACCCAGGGGCCACCCAGGAGCCCATGCAGGAAGACGGGCCATATGGAGTTTCTATATCCTTTTCTCTTTCATTTTGGTGCTTTATTTCATTTAGTTGGCATTGGGGACAATGCCATCTTTTATTTGAGGAGGTAGGCCCTACTTTTGATGGATTCATTCGGAAGATTGTATATATTTGATACTTTTTATGCTTTCTTTATTTTTAATCTTTGGTTTGTATATAATTTTAGCATTTCGTTACATTTCTCGGACTTTTATTTTAGTTTGGGCCTGTATATAAAGTTATGTTACATTGTACATATTCATCCCATCTATTGTATATTCGACAAATCCCCTTTTGTATATATTCATTTTACTTTCCGCAATTTTTCTTTCCATAGCTTCTTATTTGTGATTCGTAGCTTCTTGTTTTGAAAGTTTGCAATAAGCCTTTGGTTTTTCTTAATGTCACGGTTCTTTCCAAAGGTGGAGTGTTGTGTGAACCGGGTGGCTCTTCCCAATGATGGATGAAGTGACAACCTTCTTAAGGGTTTGAGTCCGTTTTTCTTTTGTTTTTAGTAGTTAGTAGTTAAAGGTGTCTCAAGCAAAGCTTCACTTGAGCCTAGCACATTTGTCTTTGATTTTATGGTCAAAAACAAATTGTTGTGTTTAGGATGGTGAAAGTCATGGCCGTGAGGCTCTTGTGTTGGCCGATAATCATCAAGTGGTTTTTCGGGACCATTGTGTGCTCAAATATTATCACAACTTACTCACGATCTTGCATAACTTGATCACGTTCTTACTATGCCAAGTCAGCCCTACTACACTCATGATCGCTAAGAAATGTTAGAACACATGAGAATTGCCAAAGGAAGCTTTTGTATTAGAAAGAACTTGATTGTTTTGCTTGATTGATGAATTACAAATGAATGCCCCCTATTTATACTAATCACCTAGGGGCTAGTATGTAAATAATAATTGTTCTACAAGTCCTTCCATATTTACAATTAAATCCCTTCTCTAGAATATTCTACACATCTAGATTCTTCTAAGGATTTTCCTAACAATTCTATAGGGTTCTAGGGCCTTCCTAAGGAAACCTCTATATTTCTCTAGAACCTTCCTACAAATGCATAAATATCTAGAGCTTTTCTAAGGAAATTCTATATAGTTCTAGGATATTCCACCAAGATCTTGTTCCTAACTTATGTAACTCTTCCATATGGCAAAAATATATGCCAAGTGGAACCTACGTGGCATGATGATGCGGCAGGTCATGACACTTAGCTACATACCTGCTCTAGTTCTACTGCATACCTGAAGAAAGCTCAGGTAAAGAGCCCGAGATATCGTATGCATTGGCTGGTGTGGTGGATGGATGATTTTCTGCCTGGGTATGCACGATTCGATTAGCCAAAAAGGACTTCCAGTTGGGGTGGCATATTAGGTGGAATAGATAGTCTGGGAACTTGAGCTTGCTGTGTTAGCTTATGTATGTACTGATTCAGTGTTACAGAATAAGCTCGTCCTGAAAGGCTTCCACGCATACGACGTGTAGGGCGCCAGTTTAGATCTAGTAGGGAATCCCTGGAATTATCTGACATTGTGACTGGTGTTGTGCCTCCCGTATGTCCCCTGTGGTCCCAGGCCAATGGTGTCCTAAACCCGTCAGCATTCCCTGGGAGTGGAGATGGAGTTCTAGGAGTCTGAAAAGGCCTCACCACCTGTGTGATTTGCTGAGTAGCGACAATCGGGGCGTGTTGCCCTCCAGCAAAACCTGTTGCCCGAGCAATTCCAACTGGTGAACTTCTTCTCTTCAGTGCTTCCCATCTATTCCAAGTAGATTGTTGGGTCAGGCCTTGAAACTGGCTCATCGAGTAGGGTGTTCTCAAGTTAGGAGTTTGATGGCCAACAACCAGTTGAGATGGTTGAAGAGGAGAAAAAGAATGCTAGCACACAGGAAAAGGTAGTTAGAAGACATAGGCAACATACAAACATAGAGGAAGTTGGAGATATATTATGAGTAGCCTAAAAAGGAGAAATCTGCAATAGTAAACAAAACAAGCTAATTTACATGCGGTGACACTGCTAGAAATTCGGGTTTTAGCGACCACAAAAAGCGACCAACGTTGGTCGCTTATCTCAATATAGCGACCAAAACGTGTCCAAACAGGCTTGGTAGCTATATTGGCGGTCCCTTTACCTTAGCGACCAACTTTGGTCGCTTAGCTAAACTGATCAAATGTTCACTGTAAACAAAATACCGACCAACTTTGGTCGATATAATATTTTAATAATATAAATTTAGCGACCAACGTTGAACTCTGCATTTAAATTACGATATTTTTTAAATTATTATATATTAAAAATTAGCGACCAACGTTGGTCGCAAAATTAAAATATATATTATTTAAAGAAATATATATTTAACAATCTGGGTTCATAAGCGACCAACTTTAGTCATTTTTTTTATAAATAAGAGATCAACCTTGATCGCTAATTTCCAGTATACTTTTTTTTAAATAAAATCTAGGTTCAGTAGCGACCAACCTTGGTCGCCAATTTACAAATTTTTAATTTTTTTTATATATAAGCGACCAACCTTGGTCGCTAACTCCCAAAATTATTTTTTTTAATAGGTAAGCGACCAACTTTGGTCGATTTTCTAGGTAATAACTTTGGCATAAAATGCCTGATTTGGAAGCTACACCACCTACCAGCATACCAAAATCCCTAAATAACAATATAATTCAATTCATAAACTACAATTTCAATACTAAAATCTCCACAACCCAACAACAACACCACAACCACAACAACAACAACACAATTCAAAAAACATATTAAAACCAACAAATTAAACTAAGTTAACGCTTATTACACCTAGTTCAAAACCGGTTCTATTTGTCTAGTTCAAAGTATATAACAGTCAAGGAGTGTTTTGTACAACATCATTATCACCACCGTCTGATGAACTTTCATCAACAAGACAGTATACAGAAGGGTCTACTTGTCGAGGACGAGAAGAACGATCACGGGAAGGACGGGAGGAACGAGCATGGGGAGGACGGAAGGAATGCTCACGTCCAAGTCGAGCCTCTAGCAATGACTCACGAGACCAAGGAATCGGAAAACCTCCAGAAGCTAGGAGAGATTTGAGCTGCTCTTGCATGCCCTGGTACTGAGCATCTCTAAGCTTTTCTCCGCTTTTAGCTCGGATGTGAGCTTTGTCACAGTCTTCCACATAACGAAGAGGCTCTCCCCATCAAGTTGCTCGTCTTGCGAGGAAGTCCATATTCCTTGCATTCCACACTTATAGCGATGTAATTTCTTAGTAGGAAGCCCGTATACCTTCCCCCATTTTGGACCGCCAACAGCCTCCGTCCACATTCTTTCAGAATCCTCGTCCGAAGGTTGGATTAGCTCGCCCGACTCATTAGGTGGCTGACTGCGTATGAATTCCTCCACGGCTGTTGTGAAGCGACCCTATAAGAAAAATTACATTGAATTAGTATTTCAAAATTTATATAAAAGTAAATCAAAATACTTAATGAAAAGTGAAAACTTACATGTACAGTCGAGGCTCGGCCCTCGACCCACCTTTCTTGATCCATCTCTTTCTTTTTCTTTACAATATGAGTCTTCTTGAATAGCTCATCTTGGTTCATTGGATGCCCCAACTTCTTTTCCTGAAAACTCATAAATTTTAGTTAATAAACAGAATAGGTATACATTGAAAATTAAAATAAATTAAGCAATTACGTACCAATTTTCTTTTTATTGTCTCTAGGCTGATCGCACCTCCAGTGTGCAAGGATCCTCCCTTCTCAGATGCGTGAGCTTTCTTTCCTTTTTCGCTCTTCTCTAAGAACTTTGCGGTAAGTCATTGCCTTTGCAAATCCTCCCATAAATTCTGAAGCAACCAATCAGGCTTCTAGTTCAAATTTCTAGCTTTGGAAAAACTATGCGACAACCGTTTGCGAGCTTTGTGGTAAAAATTTGCAACCACTTCCGCGCTATAGCGATGTTCCCATACACACTTGCTCTGTATTTCAAAAGTTAAATATTATATGGAAATATCATAAATATAAATAATTATACTGCTTAAAAGAATATTTATACCTTAAATTGATTAAAATTTTGCTCCTTCAGCGAGAATGGATATTCATTCCAAGTCGCATAAGGGTCATCATAAAGCTTTCTGGTGGCTTTAGTGATTATCCTCGTAGTAATATTACTCGGGATGAACCTGCAATTTAATAAAAAACACATTAATATCTTAGTACAAACTGTACAAAACAATAAACGTAAAAATAACAAATAACTCTTACCCATCACCCTCAGGGACTATGATGATCCTGCCATATTGATCATAATGCACCTCCTCGTCATTATCAGCATCACCGTCCGAAGCATATATATCAGAGGCATGTGTGGAAGGTGTAGGGGGTCAGAGCAACTATCTCACAGGCGAAGGCTTGAAATAGATGGAGTCGCTGATGAAGATGGTCGCGATCCCTGTGACTGCGACATAACTTGATGGACCGCAAGTGATTGTGATACTGATGTCTGTGACCCGAGTGGCTGTGACACGGATGAATGTGATCCATGTGGATATGACATGGATGGATGCGATCCATGTAATGCAGATGGTTGCGATCCACGTGGTCGTGAGGCAGCTGGACTGTATGTCAGACGTATAGTCCTATGGCCCTGTGATGAAAGACCTGGTGTCTGCACGAAGATATAGGACTCGTGATGCTATGGCAGCTCAGAATAGCCCTGGGGTGGAGGATAAGACATAGGCATAAACATAGGCATCTCTGAAGAGGGTGGAAAAGATGCAATATTATCTTCTACCCTCCTCTTTGCCTTCCTATCCTTTTCTCGACACCGAAAACTAGTAGAGTCATTGTTACCTCGACCCTTGCCTGTCATCTACATAATATAATACATATTTAGATTGAAACA